CTTTTATTTACGTCGACCATTTATTTCGTACAGCTTGTTCGACAACGAACGAAAAATCGTTCTATCAACGATTGGTGATCATCTATGACTCGGTATATTGTCGCTGTATTTCGTTTATTTGTAATAAATGTGGGGTGAAGAAAGATCGAAAGAGCATCCTTAGATAAATATTCTATGTTTCCTCGCGTTGTTTCTTCCATCCGGATTTTCTATATTTCTTTTTAAAAGCGAAAAGTTTTTTTTGTAAAGAGAAAAACGATTTGTAGACGAAAGAGTTTTATTGTTATGTACGCGAACGATGATTTATTCTGGATATTTAATTTGTTGAAGGTAAAATCTGTTACGTAAAAATAAGATTATGACAGTTTTAATGCAATTTATTCTCTTAGTTTTGCATATGGATATTTTTTGTAATCGCGTGCTCATCTTTTATAAATGTTCTCGATTTTTAGAGTTTTTTTTTTTTTTGTTTTATTATTCTTTTTCCTTTAAATCTGGATCGATTAATTTAATAAACGACTTCACGTTTCATATCGCGTAACATTTTATGTAGTTTAAAATATGTATATAAATCGCATGCATGCCGAATGCATTCCAAAGAGACTACTGTCGCCATCTAACGTACGACATAATTAAATATTAATCTAACTGCGGTCGATAATACAGGTAACTGTTTTCACGATTCCCATTGTTCGTCTTTCAATACTTTTTATTGTTCATCGATGAACAAGTCTTTTTTAAAAAATAATAGTGGACAAAAAATAGGAGGGAAGAAGAAAATGGATGGAAACAAAAATGAAAAATCAAAAAACTTACCGAAACGATGAATGAAAATAAACAAGGGATATGGAAGTAACTGTAACAAATAAAAAAACCAAGTTCAAATAAAACATATAAATCGTTGTCAATTTCATTAATAAATACGATATACATATTTTTTATATGTAGCTTCTTTTATTGTCAATATATTTCTAACTATATACATACATATCGCTTTATAATAAATAATATCGATAATGTACATAATTTACAATATTTTCTTGAAAAAATAATATAACTTAAGATTGATTATAACTAATATGACATTGAATTTGAACAGTTTCTTCCATTATTTAAAATTATTAAAACGTTTCGTTTCATCGAATAAAATTTGCAAACTGTTGACTACGACGAACGTCTTTATTTCTATACACTCTTAAGCTTACGATTTAACATTTAAAAAAATCTATATATATATATGTAGAATTTTAATAAGAATTAATAGATGATTTATAGTTAAGAAATCGTGAATAAATTGGTCATCGTCAAATTTGGAAAGATCGCGAGTATACGATTCGCAGTACACAACCACTTGTGGATCGTAGGCACGAGATACATGTGCTAACGTCAGCGAACACGATTTCTCTTCTTGCAGAAATAAGGTTTCGATATTAACAAGTATCATTGCAAAATGATACGCGATATTTAGAAACAAAAAAATCAACCGAACTATCTTAAATGGTTATGAGTTTTTATAGAAATTTCGACCGAAATCCGTGTGTGTCAACGCCATGTCAAAATTTGAGTGGCGTTACTCGCATAAAGTAAAAAGAAATCAATGATCTTACCAAAACTGCACAAAGAGAAAATAATGGACTGTTTGCAATAATTTCCAATGAAAATTTCACAACGAAAAACCACACAAAATTCACAAAATACTTCGAAGCTAGCGGCGAGATGTTTCATGCAGACAACTGCATGTATACACAGCTAACAGTGCTGCCACATTCGAAACGACGCCAACTACGAAAAATAAAATTATGACCGCGTATTTCAAATTGTCTTACAAACATTTCCATCGAAATAAAAATAATTGTGTCGTGATTAGCATTTATTTTGATTATATATAAAAGATTTGTAAGTAATTTTTACAATTATTCATAATTTACAACTTTATAATTAAATGTAACTTTTTTTCTAATAATTAAATCTATATAATAATTGATTCAAAATTCTTATGACAAAATATTAAAAAAGAACAATCTATATATTTAATTATAAAGAAATAATTATGTCAGATGATTATATATAGAATAGATCTATCATAGAATGCAATAGGTTAAAAAACTTCGTCTATGACCTCGTTACCATTCTCGCATCACATGCAACATTATCGATTCAGAATGGAATGAAACAACAGCGCTACTAGGACGAAAAAAATTGTAATTAAATATAACGATTGTCAATTGTGTTTGACATAAGAATTTTTAATCGATTTAAAATTTAAATCTAGAATTTAGATTTAACATAAAATATTGTCAACTATTTTTACGCGGGAATCACAACGGATATTTCAAATACTTATTTTAATTCAAAAATCTTCGTCTTCAGAAACAATCTTCATACATCTATGAATATTCGAACTTGAATTGTGTTAAATATAAAATTCAAGTTGCATTTGTATATATGTATTGTACATATAAAATATTTGGATGAATTATAAATAGAAAATTTAAAGGATGATTGTAGAAACCCTTTGAACGAAGAATAAAAATATTTGCATTTCATTTTTTAATTATTGATAAAAATTCAAACATGATATTCCTGGTTACGAATAAATTCTTTTACATATACATATATATACTTACATATATTTCTAAATTCACTGCCCTAAATTGTAGAGGGCACAAAACTTCTGGTTTCTTGCACGATCGGTAATTCAGAACATAAAACACAAAATTCCAACTTGTTTCAGCAATATATAATTAAAATTAAATGATACAGAGAAGAAAAGAAGATAGAAGATATTATTCTCTGATTATATTATTATGATATTATGATACTTTGCACGTGACGGAAATATTTTACTTTTTTCTTTCCTTTTCTCTCTTGCATGGCAGGGATGAAGAAGCAAGAAAGAGATAAATAAGATAAAAAACAAAAGAAGAAGAAATTTTATGAAAAAGAAGTGTATCAAGAAGGCCAACAAATGTGATATAGAAGCAATATATCGAAAAACAGACTAGAAGTACATGCTATTTATAGAGGGATGGTGAATTGGTTATGCCACCGAAAGGGCAAGGGAGAGGGAGAAATCTCTAGCTTCGAGAGTGAAGAAACAGTGCTGCCTTTAAAGATGGCCTCCGACGACAACGTGCCGTGTCGCGTCTATGCCAAAAAATGCTCGAAAACCCTTATCGGACCGTGAATATTGGTTAAATCGAATTGTACAGTGATTATAGAGATATTCTATACAATTGTTCGGTAACGATAGGAAAAAATGTTTGGTGTATCACAGTGTTTAATTAACTGAAAAACAAAAAGATTGACGAGATGCGAGATCGGATCAATCTAGTGGTAGTCATTCTACCCCGTTTCGAGTGACAGTAGCTTACGTAACGGATTATTCTCGCTATGATAACGATACTCCAGCCACGAATGCGAAACAAGAAACTGTTTTACCCGGTTATTCGTGGCGCTGCGCACGAATCTGCTAGAAATACGCATCGCGACTGACCTGATTATTCTTTGTCGTTTTGATATCGTGCCACGTTACTGTTCGAGTGCATCCTTTTAGTTTCGAATCCAGCACGCTGGAAAATAATATTGAAGTTCGTTCTGATGAATTATGACAGCGGCGCTCGTCATGGAAAATATAAATTGGGATCCTGGTGAGTGAATTCAAACGATCAACTACTTGTGTTTTACCGCGATACATTTGTTTTCGTTTATCGTTCTCTTTTTTAGCTTTTAATCAATGGCATCACAAATTAAAATGTTTCGGCATTTCGGTATGCAATATCACCGGCTTGATTGAACGCGATATTTTGAAAGTAGAGGCATACCTTCATATTGTATTCGTGTACATTACATCTATTTTTACCTGCTAGCAAACCTTCTTCAACAAAATGTCCGAATTAACTCGAAACAAAATATTATTATTATAACAGAAAGGAATATTTCACGTTCACGGAAAGTAATTTATCGATCAGGAAATAATGTTACCGTGAAATTGATTCTTTAAAAAAAAAAAAAAA